ACATGTCAAACTTGCGACGTCACGTGACGTTGCGCGATGTTTTATAGAACTTTTAAGAATCACTTTGAAAAAGGTGTCATGCCAATATAAATTTTAATTTACATCTTCCTCTAGATGGAGCTCAAAGGCCAGATTTGCTTCAGGCTGCTTTCTGGTTGTAAGGAATGGAAATGCATTTTGTTTTCAGAGAAATAGCCTTTAAATTGGATAAAATAACTATCAGTAGCAGGATCAGATAAGTCTTTTGTTGTTTGCTTTAGTAGAGTTGAGCTTTGATCTTTTGGTAGTGGATCTGAGGGTGTTTGTGTAAGAGCCTTTCAAATAATATAGAAATTGATCCCTTCCCGCACTAATTTTCCCACGTCTTATTCTGCAGAACAACTGTGTCAGCTCAGGCCCTCTTTACAATAGTTGAGTTAGGGGCAGAAATGTTGGCTATTCCATTATTGAGAATGTCTTCGCACAACTCTGTTTCCCCATGACCTCTGTCCCGGTAATCAGTTTATAGATTTTTGCCTTCTGCTTGTTACTGAATGCAGCCTCTAGATGCTTTGGTGTTTTTAATTTAATTGGATAAAACACCAAGCCATAAAGTATAATATAGGGTCCACTTGATAGCAGAACATTCCACATGTTACAATATTGCAGTAAGAATATAGTCCTTTAGAGAACTCACATTTTCTTTTATTTCTTTTTTCTTTTATTCGCTCTTTTATTTGCTCAGAATTTCAGCTGGGACGTATAGTGCTGTCAGCATCCTTTGACATATGGTTGCAGCAGTTATACCATAATATAACCGAGGAACAGTTGTGTCATAATGATTGGACCAAGTAACTAAAAAAACTCCTTTTCAAGATTATATTATGTATAGTGCAACTGCTATCCTCTGGTCCCCACTGATACATACAAGAAAGAATTGCACGTCCTGATGCGGGGGGGAAAAAACTTTCATTGATGTATACAAGAATGCACCTTTTTCTGGTTTTCCATCTTGCTTTAAGCTTCACTGTAATGTCCTTATGCTTAATTGTGTCAGATTTCAGAACAATTTTACATCCGCAATCAACAACATCGTATATTTGTGATTGATTTGGAAACTTTCACTCGCTCCTATCCCTCTTGTCTTCTTTACACACGCTTCTTCTCCAGATGTACTGTATCTATGATATTGTTGTCATTTGGATAGAAAGGAGAGCAGTTCCGTGAAAAGGTCAAAAATGTCAATCTCTGCATTAACTTGATCCTTTCTGTGTCCCGCTGTTGGTGAGCTGAAGGAACTACTGATCGACTATAGGATGTGTGAATATGATAAACAAGAATGCTCCCAGGGGCACTTAAAAGTATTTCTGGGGGTTTAGGAACTGAACATGGTGACTGTGTAAAAATGTTCTGCATCAATTCAAAATTCAGTTTATAATGGCAATTTACAAACTATTTGCATATGTTCTGCTGCAAATAAATCACATATAATTTCATTTGTTCAAGATTCCCCATCACAGTGAAGGCGAACCTTTTAGAGACCGAGTGCCCAAAAANACATGTCAAACTTGCGACGTCACGTGACGTTGCGCGATGTTTTATAGAACTTTTAAGAATCACTTTGAAAAAGGTGTCATGCCAATATAAATTTTAATTTACATCTTCCTCTAGATGGAGCTCAAAGGCCAGATTTGCTTCAGGCTGCTTTCTGGTTGTAAGGAATGGAAATGCATTTTGTTTTCAGAGAAATAGCCTTCTTTAAATTGGATAAAATAACTATCAGTAGCAGGATCAGATAAGTCTTTTGTTGTTTGCTTTAGTAGAGTTGAGCTTTGATCTTTTGGTAGTGGATCTGAGGGTGTTTGTGTAAGAGCCTTTCAAATAATATAGAAATTGATCCCTTCCCGCACTAATTTTCCCACGTCTTATTCTGCAGAACAACTGTGTCAGCTCAGGCCCTCTTTACAATAGTTGAGTTAGGGGCAGAAATGTTGGCTATTCCATTATTGAGAATGTCTTCGCACAACTCTGTTTCCCCATGACCTCTGTCCCGGTAATCAGTTTATAGATTTTTGCCTTCTGCTTGTTACTGAATGCAGCCTCTAGATGCTTTGGTGTTTTTAATTTAATTGGATAAAACATCAAGCCATAAAGTATAATATAGGGTCCACTTGATAGCAGAACATTCCACATGTTACAATATTGCAGTAAGAATATAGTCCTTTAGAGAACTCACATTTTCTTTTATTTCTTTTTTCTTTTATTCGCTCTTTTATTTGCTCAGAATTTCAGCTGGGACGTATAGTGCTGTCAGCATCCTTTGACATATGGTTGCAGCAGTTATACCATAATATAACCAAGGAACAGTTGTGTCATAATGATTGGACCAAGTAACTAAAAAAACTCCTTTTCAAGATTATATTATGTATAGTGCAACTGCTATCCTCTGGTCCCCACTGATACATACAAGAAAGAATTGCACGTCCTGATGCGGGGGGGAAAAAACTTTCATTGATGTATACAAGAATGCACCTTTTTTCTGGTTTTCCATCTTGCTTTAAGCTTCACTGTAATGTCCTTATGCTTAATTGTGTCAGATTTCAGAACAATTTTACATCCGCAATCAACAACATCGTATATTTGTGATTGATTTGGAAACTTTCACTCGCTCCTATCCCTCTTGTCTTCTTTACACATGCTTCTTCTCCAGATGTAC